GTTCATATAGTCCGGCCCTCCAGCTCTCTGAGGGACCGTGATCTGGCCCCCACTTTAAAAAGTTTGAGGACCCCTGGAACCTTGGAGGAAGAACAAAGCAGGGGCAACGCGGGTGGAGCCAGTCTAGGAATGAGATAGTGGGGGAGGGAATGGAGGTGGGCATTGGTTTTTAGGACTGAGGTGGGGTTAGAAGTACAGGAGGCTGAGAGTTCAGAGACAGGTGTGGAGGCTGGGGGAGCGTGAGCCATAGGGCATTTGGGCTGGGTGAAAAATTCTGGACTGGTGACATTTAGGAACTGCAGGAGCATGGAGAGCTCACCAACGTTGTAAATGGAATGTTCCAGTGTGGGCGTGTCTTCTTCAAGATCCAGGCCTTGGACCTGAGGGTATGATGCAAGTCCTCTGTGGGGATGGAGAACACAGGAGGCAGGCTCCCCCTCAGCCTCATTCTTCAAGGGGTGTTTGCTCACTTTTGGAGGTGCAGATTCCTGACACAATCAAACACCAGGGGCTAGGAAAGACAAGTTAATTCATTTAATCATTCACTTTAAAATATATATATATATTTTATTGATTTCAGAGAGGAAGAGGGAGAGATGGAAATATTAGTGATGAGAGAAAATAATTGATCAGCTGCCTCCTGCACGCCCCATACTGGCGATCGAGCTTGCAACCCCAGCACATGCCCTTGACTGGTATCGAATCCGGGACCCTTCAGTCTGCAGGCTGATGCTCTATCCACTGAGTCAAAGCAGCTAGGGTTATTCATTCACTTCTTAGTTTATTTATTCAGTTATTCATTCCCCCCCCTGAATATTTACTGCATTTCTACTAGGTTACAGGCACTGTTCTAACCCTAGAGCTACAGTAGTGAGCATGGCCATACCCATGTCTTCACTCAGCTTACATTCTAGTGGGAGACAATACTTAAACTAGTTAACAAACAGATATATAATATAACTTCAAGTTAGCACAAGGTTATGAAGAAAAACAAAGGAGATAAAGATGGTAGGGAGTGACTGTTTGGGTGGGGGCAGTGTCAATGAGGGCTACTCTAAGGAGGTGACATCTGGATGAGATAAGAAGTGAGGCCTGCAGAGCTCAGAGGGAAGTGTGGCCCAGGCAGTGTTTGGGGCCCTGGAATGCCTTCATGGCTGTTGTGGGAAATAAGCTCACTCACCCAACCTCTATTTTGGGGTCCGAGCTGACTCAAATATTGGGCAACTGGCTTCCTACTCCAAGACTGTTTCTACTGTAAAATGAGGATTTTAATAGCTACCTCTGTTTTACGAGAGTCTCATGAGAATTGGTCAGTGTCTGGCTAGAAAGTATTTTTTATTGCACACACAAATTTTTTATTTATATCCTGTATAAGCTAAGGGGAAATGGTCAGCAACTAACTCAGCTGTGTTCTCAGAGAGCAAAGCTTGATCTGGTTCACTCAGTGCTGAAACTCAGTTGACCCCTAAAGATGACCTTGAACTCCTGCTGATTTTCTTGGTTTCATGTCCCGTTGAGCTCCAGACGAAGAGCCCAGAGCCCTAGGTTCTGGCCCCCATTTTATTGCTGACAACCTGTGATGTCTTGGGCAATTTACTTAACTTCTACCACAGTCTGTCACCTATAAAATGGGTGTAATATTCAAAGAAAATAATGTTGTTTGCCCTACAAAGTGCTATAAACGTAAATGTAAAAGATTATTGTTATTAAAGGGAAACTTCAGGGTGGCCCACCTTGTCCAGCTTATGCACATTGATGGGGTCCCAGCTTTGCCCACATGTTTCCATGGATCTCCTGGGAGAGTGGCAGAGGCCACAGAGTTTGGTCCATGAGAAATACATAGTTTCTCCTTAGTTTCGCCTTATCTATGTTCGGCCTGATACTTGTGGCCCAGGAGAGTGTATTTACGTGGCAGAAAATCAGTGAAAAAGTCTCAGAGGAGAGCAGAGAAATGCTGTTTGGGAGCTAAAGCAGGCAAGAGAGGGACTATCTTTAGGGCACTTCCTTCCTCTCTCTTCCAGGAACATCTATTGAGGTTCTTGGTGCCCAGCGCCACGCTAATATTTCTAGACCAGTTTGTGTGCAGCCTGTCCCTAACTCTACTCTGGATGGGTGGTGGGCCACTGTGCAGTGACTGACACCCACTTACTGGCCTGGACTTGGGCATCGAGGGTTGCAAGCCAGAATGTGATGGACCCACCGACCCCAAGAGTCCCTCACCAGCCTGCCCAGAATCCTCTCCTCTGGTCCAAAATGCTTTCCCTTAGTGAGTATCGGGTACTTTGGGTACATTATCTGACTTATTCTTTCTAACAACTCTCTGGCATAGGGGCTATTATTAAACTGTGTCACAAAGGAGGAAACTGAGGTTTGCTCACTTGTACAAAGTCACACAGTGAGCTAGCATTAGAGCCTAGACCAGACCACAGCCCCCTCTCCACCTGCTGACAGCCACTCCTGCAGTCTTCTCTCCCCCTCCCGAGGCTCCCAGAGCCCCGTTGCTTGTGCACATGAACACTCACCCACTGAAAACCAGAAGTGCTGAGAATTTACCTCCTCAGCTGAGAATGCCAGCAGGTGCTGGCACAGCACAGTCCATCCAGCTTAACAGCTCCGGAGAGTATTCTTCAGCGGTTCCCTGCAGAATAAAATGACTTTCTAGCCTAGCTTGGTGTGGCTCAGTGGTTGAGCTCGACCCATGAACCAAGAGGTCCCCAGTTCAATTCCCAGTCAGGCACATGCCCAGGTTTTGGGCTCAATCTGTAATTGGGGGGAAGGGATACTTTTAGGAAGCAGCTGATTGACACCTCTCTCTCACTGATGTTTCTATCTCTCCATCCCTCTCCCACTCTCTCTCAAATCAATAAAAACATATTAAAAAATAAGATGACTTTCTATACAACGTTTGTCTTGCTTGTTCTCCTCCTCTTTTCAATCCTACTCCCCTCGTGCCCCTAAAACATCACTAGCTCACAAAGGTTGGCTCCTGGTGAACCCAGTTAGGTATGGGCTGAGCTGGGGCAAAATATTATTTAGTGACCAAGTCCAAGAGAGAATTCAGAAGCTAGGTCTGGGTGACAGCCCCAACAAGAGTCCAGATGACCCCAGTAATTGTGTCACAGGGGGAAGGCTTCCTTTAAGAGCCCTTCAGAGTGCAAGGCACTGAATCAGACAATTTTCATATCTACTCTATTTAATATTAAAACATCTACCTATTAGACTTTTCCAGTTTTCATTGGATTTTTTGAGATTATACAGATTCAATAAAATTCAACTTTGACTAATCTCAAAACCTCACTCTAGGTGAAATATCATTTTGAAATTGCACCTTGGTGGGACTCTGTAATAAGGCCCTTCATTTGACCTCATCCTCACTGCCCACCCTTTCCCACTAAATGTCCTGTTTCTCACATATTCATGTACGTGGCTCTCATGCGGGTGACACTCACTTTGCCCTCTGGCATGATTGCGGATCTGGATGTCTCAGCTCCAGAGTTCATGACTGATGCTCTCTAGCTGCACCATCTAATACTGTAGCCACTAGTCACATCTGGCCACCAAGCATTTGTATCATGGCTCATCTGAATTGAGGTGTGCTTTAAGTATAAAATACATAGGAAGGATTTTGAAGACTTAGTATGAAAAAAAAAAAAGAATGTAAATTATCTCACTAATACTTTAAAATATTTATTGGATGATGAAATGATAATATTTGAGGTATATTAAATAAAGGGTATTAAAATTAATGTTACTTCTTTTTACTTAAAAAAATAAAGTTACTGGAAAATTTAAAATGGCACATGTGGTTCTCATCATGTTTCTAATGGGGTGTGCTGCTCTACAAACTCAAACAGAGGAGGCTGGGAGAGTGAACTTGTCCAGTGCCTCCCGGGAAGACAGGCTGAGCTGGGAAGGAATTGTGTGGTTGCTTTGATGGCAGGGTTCTTTATGGAATCAGGAGGCAGCAAGCTAAGTACTATGTGACATTAAAAGGTGTGTGCTCCTGTAGACAGCTCTGTGCCCCTCTGGCCAAGAGGATTTATGACTGAAGAGAGTGGCCATCAGTTCAAATGACATCACTGCACCTCTGGTTCCAGGCTGGGGCTTGTTAACATTTCAGAATTCACATCTGCTCTTTTTTTCATATGATCATATTCTGTGAGGAGAAAGAGGGAAGGAAAGCCCTAGTTGCTTTGGCTCAGTGGATAGAGCATCCGCCTGCGGACCAAAGGGTCCTTGGTTCGATTCCCATCAAGGGCATGCACCTCAGTTGTAGACTCCTCCCCAGCCCAGGCCCTGGTCGGGGCTCACACAGGAGGCAACCAACTGATGTGTTTCTCTCACATTGATGTTTCTTTCTGTCTTTCCCTCTCTCTTCCATTCTCTCTAAAAAAACCAGTGGAAAAATCATTGGGTGAGGATTAACAACAACAACAAAATAATAATAATAAAGGGGGGGGGGGGAGAAAGAAAGAGGGAAGGAAAGAGAGAAGAGGAGGGAGGAAAGAAGAGCTGGGGATTATTATTGATAAGGATGGAGGAAGAAGGACAGAGGAAACCAGTGAGAGAACATCTCATTAACTAAAATAAAAGGTTCAAAAGTAGGCTAGTCAAGTAACTTAAACTGATGAGTGCTTTCCAGTTTTGGGATGCACATTCCATCACTAGGGCTCCTCTTTGGGACCTTCCCATTTCAGTGATGTGGCACCTGTTCTCATAATTTTAGAGGCTAGGAGCCCAAGATCATGGTGCCAGCCAGCATGGTCTGTCTCTGTGAAGACTCCCATCCTGGCTTATGGATGCCCACTGTGTCACATGGCAGAGAGAGAGTTCTGGTCTCGCTTCCTCTTTTGATAATGACAACAATCCTATCAGATTAGGATTCCTTTCCCATGACTTCGTTCATCTGTTCCACGGGGCAGACAGGTCTGAAGGGAGTCTTTATAGTCCTGGAACCAAGGGTCACAGTGGGGCTCACATTCTCATGTCCCTTCCTTCAGGGCCATGTTCTGCAATGACTTAAAGGAAAAGTATGAGAAGAGGATCATTATCAAAGGAGTCGATGCCGAGACCATGCACACTCTCCTGGACTACACCTACACCAGCAAGGCGCTGATCACCAAGCAGAACGTCCAGCGGGTCCTGGAAGCTGCTAACCTCTTCCAGGTGAGTCAACAAACAGGCTCCTTGCTCTCTTCCGCATGGTTCCCCAGAGACCTGCCTGGACTGGCTTCCCAGGCCTGTACCTGGGACACACATGCATAATTAGCCGGGCCTGTGCTTACTTGAAAGACAGAAGGTGCTTCTTTGGTGAGATGAGGCAGTGACTCCGTAATGCGACGAAACCGGGGGAGCTTGGTGCCTAATACCTACACTTGGTTCCTGACTCCAGGATCAATGACTATAATTTGCAGAAGCCCAGTTGGAGCCAGGGCCTGAAGTCACCAGTTCATATGCTTAACTTCTAAGCCTTAGCACAACTTTTTGTGTGAGGAAAGCAAGGCAAATTGAGGATACATGACGAGGCTGGGATTTGAGCCCTGGGCTCTCTGAGTCTATAGGCCACATGCTTGCCAACACACCAAGCAGCCTCTTGAGGAGGAGTGTGTAGGTTCTGGGGAAAGCAGGACCTGGACTGGTCAGCACTTTGTGGTGGGTGTGAAAGAAGAGCATCTCTCGTGAGGGGTATAAAAGAAGATGAGATAGAGAACCCTCAGAATTAAGTTTCATTGTTGGCATTTGGCTATCTTTGTTTCAATCCAATTATAATAACTATATTTAATTAATAGAATAACTAGACCTATAGATGATGTCAATTGTATCCACAATTATCACAGGGCTCCTATCCCCAGATAACCAACTTTGCCTAGGTCTAAGATTACACTTTGAACTTAGTTCCACTGGATTACAACCGAGTTCATCTCACTGAAAGATGATTTTTTTTCTTCTTTTTCATTCTCACCCAAGGATATTTTCCCATTGATTTTTAGAGAGAATGGAAGAGAGAGGGAAAGACAGAGAGAAACATTGATGTGAGAGAAACACATTGATTGGTTGCCTCCTGCACCCAGGGCCTGGGTGGGAGAGGAGCCTGCAACCAATGTACATGCCCTAGACTGGAAGCAAACCCGGGACCCATTGGCCAGCAGGTCAACGCTCTATCCACCGAGCCAAACCGGCTAGGGCTGAAGATTATTTTTATGATAAATCCAGGGTCAGATCTTATCCATGGTTTGGGACTTTAGGTGGTGACATCCTCTTAGATCATCATTAGCTCAGCCATTGAGGGGAACAGAAAACCAAGTCTGGGAAGGGAAGGAATGAGGAGTCCAGGGTCAAGAACATGGGTAGTGGGATTATCTTGGCTGAGGCTGGGAACTGTGCAGGGTTTATGAAACCAGCAAGGAAGAAAGAGGGGAAAGAGGGAGCAAAATCAGCCATGAAACAGCACTGATGAATTCTGAGGAATGGCTTGCTGCAGTGCAGCCAATTTTATTGTCTCATTTACCTCAGGGAACTTTAAAGATACAGAGAAAAATACTTCCAACAAGGCTGGTCACACCTTACCTGGTGGTTGTGGGGGTGTTTTTCACTCTTTTCTGAGTCCATCTCCATCACAGAAAAGGAAACAGTCAGGTTCCTGAGTGGAGGAGCTGGGGATTAAGAAATTAAAAAGAGAAAGAGACCAAGAGGCAGAAATGGATTCATAAGGCTGGGAGCTAGGTGGGTGCCATTCTCTCTGATGGAGAGGCAGCAAAACGACGACAACCCCTCCCAGTGCATTTATTTTATTCCCAACACCAGGAAGTTATCATAAACCTATTTGCATTCTTAAGTAGGCCCTAGCATGTCTGGATGTACATATCTAGTCCCACCCCTGCCGACACCTGGGCTGATATGAAGGCCAAGCTGACAACATGTCCACCATCTTGGGGAAACATGTTCCCAAGGCATGGCTCTGCCTATGCCTTGAGTTCAGCATACCATAATTAAGGAAAATGTCCATGTGTCTTCCCAGGCGGCCCTCTACAGGTGGTATCTCCAAGTTAGTTACTACTCACACCCCCAGTCCCTCACCTGCTCTCTGTCCATACCTGCTTACACACCCAGGCTTCTGATTGTTAGGAAAATACTTCTCGTTATGTGGAGGAGGAGTTAGCAACTTGACGCTCAGTACCCTCTCCTCATCGCCTCCACCCAACACTCCAACAATCTGACTTGGGGGGAAGTTCCTCCCATGTCATGAAGAGGCCTCTATCTAGTACAGCTGTTATGCTTTTTCTGAACCTTCTATTCAAAGGTAACACCCCCCACACTCTGCAGCACCTCCCCCTAAGTGGCCAATAACCTTTAGTAGAATCACCCCATTCACCTTTATTCAATCCAGCCACAGCCGCCATTGCCATCTTCATGCTAACCTCCTTTCCTAGGGCCCAGCGAGGATTGCTGACATCTAAAGATGGACAGGTAACACTGACAATAATAATAGTAATAGCATTCATGGCTTCAAGTATGACACCAAAATAGATGCTCAATGAATACAAATTTTTTGAGCACTTACTATGGACCTCGAGTGACAAAGTTGGGGCTCGTAACCACGTCCCCTGTTTTCCCACTAGTTGAAGTTAGTTCCTGTATGATGATAGATTTTATTTTTCTCAAATGCAGTTTTTAATAATTTTAAATTGCAATAACATTCAAACTCATTTCAGGAAAATCAGAAATGCATATAAACAAAAGGAATGTAAAATGACCTACAACCCCTCCTATTTTAAGACACTAGGGCAGCTTGCTTGCTTAGGTATCCAACTTCTATCTTAGAGGGTAGACCAATTTTCTGTTAGGTTGCTACCATAACAAATTACCACAAACTGGGTGCCTTAAAACGACAGAAATTTATTTTCTCAGAGTTCTGGAGGCCAGATGTTCAAAATCAATACTCCTTTTGGAGACTCTAGGGGAAGAATCTGTTCTTTGCCTTCTCCAGTTTCTGCTGGCTGCTGGCATCCCTTCATTGTGGCCACACCACTCTGACCTCTGCATTCCTGGTCCCATTGCCTTCTCCTCTTCTGTGTGTCTTCTCTTTTGTGTGTCTATTTTATAAGGATACCCGTGATTGCATTTAGAAGCCACCAGATAAGCTCCTCCTAAGTTCTTCAACTTAATCATACAATTTTGTCATATAAGGCAATAGGGTTTGGGGATTATGACATGCACATATCTTTTTTGGGGGCACCATTCAACCACTAGAGAGGGTTTCTTCAAATATCCTTTTGGTGATTTGGTCCTTGGCTGTTCATCTTTAAGATTGAAGCCTTAACACACTGGTTTGAAGCTCAGTGCACATGAAGCAGGATGGGGTGCTAGAAGACTAAAGAGTTTTACCAGGGTTATCAGGTGACCTGCCAGTTTTTTGTTTTTGTTTTTTAATTGAAGATCCCTAAATGTCACCATCTGTTGGACTGTTCCTAGGATTGTTCATTTCCCCCCAGATAAGGATCTTCATTCTCCTGCCCAGGGGTTATATGATAGCTACATGTGTTCTTGACTGGGTGTGTAAGTGTGGCTGTCTGTGCAAATCTTTACTTAACCTCCTTATGTTAAGTCATGTTTCTGGTGTTCCTGAGTCTGGAACCTCTTTGATGTGGTTTTTCCTGAGGATAAGTCGTCTTGTCCAGGAGTGAGAGGGGGAGTGGTTAGGTGAGAAGAAAAACCAGGAAGCTTCACTTCTTAAACTGACACCATTTTGTCAGTCCCTCCTACCCCTTCTGGCTCCTTGGGACTTTATATTCCTGCCTTTGTGGGTTCTGAGGGACAAATTGGTTCCTCTATCGGTCCTCTCAGCAAAGTCACTCACCAGTCTTCACAGTCTGTGGTTTGGGGTTACTGTGTCTCCTGCTTTCATTGGGGATGGAGTTTATTTATGCTTCTGTTTCTTGTTCTCCTTTCAGTTTTGGGTGGTTTCTCAAGAGGCCATGAGAGCTCTTTAGATTAGGGGTGTCGAACTCAATCAGAGAAGGGGCCAAAATCTAAAATCCAGCCTAAATCACGGGCCGAATGGTTTACTGAACAGTCATAAACTGTCATTGTGATGGAAACGCAGCGGAGTGCAGTGATGACAGCGCGGTGCGGGCCACATTGCAAGGCCTGGCGGGACGGATTTGGCCCGCGGGCCTTGTGTTTGACACATGTGCTTTAGATAGTAAACACTGTAATCTTTCATAATAGCATTGCAAATATTTTCCATTGGTCATTTAACTCATCATTTTAGTTACAGCTTTTTATGTAGAAAAGTTTAAAACTGGTATTGAGTTGATTCTATTGATCATTTGCTTGATGATTTGTGTCATTGGTGTGCATGTTTAAAAAGATCTTTCCCGTTGCATGATTATATACTTAATCACTTATAATTTCATTTAGTTTTGTTTCATTTACAGCTTTGATATTTAAATCTTTTATATAGCTGGAAATTATTTTGGTATAAAGTTGTTTTTTCTTCTTTGTCTTCTTCCTCTTCTTTTCATTTCCTCCCAATTGGTGAGCTTCAGCAGGGAGTTTAGACTTAATGAGCAAGGTGGGAGAGGAGGAAGAGACAAATGAGAGATAAAGCAAGCTCTGTTTATTGTTGATTCCCATTTTCTGGTAATCCTTCACCTCAGATCTTTCCATATCTTGTTCACTTTTCAGGCAAAAAAATGACAAATTTCTCTCTGCGGCCATTTTATTCATTTTCCTATAAGTGTTAATTTTTATGAAAATACAAGAAGCATGCTGTGGGCTTCTGGATATCTAGTTAACCCACTTTCTGATTTCTCTTGCTTCTAGACTTTTCTTTTGAAGTCTCAGCCATAGAAAGCTGGGGATATTTTCATACTTGAGGGTACCGTAAGGGATAGAAGTTCCTAGGTTGTTGAAATAACTTTGTGGTTTTAAAAATTTATTAATTTTTGAATGGATAAAACACATCTCTGTTCCAAATTCAGAAACACAAAAGGGGAGACAGTGAAACATTTCTTCGCTGTTTGCAGTCTCACTGTCCTTTTTATTCCACACACATACCAGTATATATGTGAGGATCACTCTCATTCATGGCCTCCATTTAAAAAAAATACATTTTATTATTTTTTTATAGAGAGAAAGGGAGAAGGATAGAGAGTTAGAAACAT